CCTTGCAGTTTAAAAGTCATGGGTATGAATGTTTGTGGAAAACGAATAAAAAGGATTGCAAATACTCAGTTCAAATTCCCAGTTCCCATCTGAAAAACTGTCCACAAATCCTTTTGGCAATATGTACCCAGTTCTATCTATGAACCTAAACTATCAAACATCTCTAACTTAACCAGAAGTCACAGGCTTGACACAGGAATTGCTGGGTGAAAGTCTATCACCTGTATTATACAGGTCATACTACATAATCAGAAGGGCCCCTGCTGGCCTTACAATCTGAAAATCTTGAACATTATGGATTCTGCTCTGATGTTATGCAATTCTTGTCCTCACGTGGTAGGAGGATATTCCAGGTTACAATTAATCTCTGGAGAGTACTTAGAGTAGGTAGGCTTGAGCCTGTTCCATTTTAATCCTATATACTGTGATCTTGACCCACTGCTATAAATTACCACTGATCATACATTTATTGTCATTTTCACCCACTCCCTTTTTTATGTCACCAGCCTCTCTGCTACTTTACTGTACATACTTTGGAGTCAGTTCAAACTGCACACTATCTGGTGGATTATTCAACCAACTAGTAAAGGGTACTTCAGTAGTCCTGCCATATACGCTATGTGGAGCATAGTTTCAATATGTCACAGTTGTTATGATTGTTTTAATCATTAGTAGTGTCAATCAACACCTTAGGATCCCAGTCCTGGTCCCTCATAAAGTGTGTCACGGAGTCTGCAGCTGTTATCATTTCTGTGTCTCCTCCACTCTCTGTGACACTAGAAGTGATATATTATAAAATCCAGGTGGACAAAATTCAGCCCTGGCATAAGTGGATGCAATTGCCACTGAAGTCCGTGAGAATTGCACCCACTTGCTGAGGGCTGAAGTTGACTGTTATGTATAATAAATTAAAACTAAACCTCCCCAAAAAAGTAAAGAGAAAATGTAGAACACAACTATGGGTCAGATCCAAATGGAGCGACTCCCACTGACTTCAATTGACTTTGGATCAGGCCCTATATTCTTGCCTGAAACAGCATAACTACACCAGTGATTTATTTGTAAATTTCCTAGAGGTGGGGACTAAGTTATATAAATATCTCCAAGCCATGGATGGAGTTAAATTGCATGTCTTAATATACTTAGCAAATGATAACACAACCCATGACTAAATATATAAGGAAGGTAGGGGAAAAGTACATTTCTTGGCTGGAAAGTTATTGAACATTTACGGCCAAAGATTGGATAGTTTCAAGAGGGGAATTTCCTTGACTCCCCCTCCTATAAATAAATCACTGAAATATGCTAAGGACTGTCTGGTTATGTAAGTGGATGAAAGATCAACATTTCTCAGATGTTGTACGGTACATATTCTCTAAAAGAGGAAACTAGCCTATTGAAATTGCAGATGTGCTTTTATTTTATTAAGGGCCTCTTTCGTTATGTGTAATCAATGACAGAAGCTGTAAAACCAACCTTTTTTATATTCTTTGGTAAATATTATGTAATAGTTGCAGCTATTTCTTTTGGACAAACTTGAGTCCCCTCTAAATTATACAGGTGCAAATCAGGAGTAACTCAGGGCTAGTCTACACTGGCAACGTTAAAGCGCTGCCGCGGCAACGCTTTAACATGGCTTATGTACTCACAGCAGAGCACTGGGAGAGAGCTCTCCCAGCACTCTTTATAAAAAAAAAAAAAAAAAAAACCACCTCCACCGCGCTCCCAGCACTGATGCACTGTCTACACTGATGCTTTACAGCACTGAAACTTGCAGCGCTCGGGGGTGTTTTTTCACACTCTTGAGTGAGAAAGTTGCAGTGCTGTAAAGTGCCAGTGTAGACATGCCCTCAGTTTGAAATCAGTAGAGTTACACTGGGGTGAAACTGGAATGAGAGGAAAATCAGGCCCTAGCAAATTAAATTCCAGGGGCAGCTCTGTCTAAATCATCCTAAATCGAATTCCTTTCAAATAAGAAGAGTTGGATTTACAAGTGTAATGAAATTGTAATATCTATGGATGAGTGACTTAGTGGAGTTCCACGTTTTATGAACCTTTCAAGCCATGAAACCATATGTTGTATAGACTACATTCAATTGTTAATTTTGTCTAACCATTAAAACTTGCAATTCTTGCCAATGATCTCTCATGAGCAATTTTACAAGTGTGACTAGGTGACCTTTTAAAAGCTTTAACTCATTGTAAAAATGTTTTGCTCATTTAAAAGTCTTCCCCGTGAGACATCTAGCAGCCTAAATACCTTCCAGCATTGGAACTGATTGTAAATTAACTGCTTGGGGTGTCTTTGTTTTGTTTTTTGTCCTGTGGCAGTAAGACCAAAGGGTGAGCATAGTCACCACCTAATCATTTGTGTTGGATAGGAAGTGAGGCGAACTCCATACCCATTGTCCTTTTCTGGTAGTGGGATAAAATGGGAGGCAAATCACAGCCTCTGATCTTTCTGCCGCTCTGATGTCCGCAAATTGGGGCCCTGCCTTTGCTTGGGTCCAAATCTTTATGCCACTGAAACAAATAACCGCTTGCTCAAGCAGTGATCAAATAAAGACAATTGCCCATTGCCGTTTGACTTTAGCGGCTATGTAATGAAAGTTTTGAGTATTTTTTTTGTTCTTCTGCAAAACAACCAGAGTTGTTTCAAATTTTGTAATATTAAAGTGTTTAGGCTTCAACTGAATAAGATTCAGTTCTAAAGACAGGGATTTTCCATCTTCTTTGCCTATTCTTACTGGTAAGTGTGTTCTTTGTGTGATAATCTGAGAGGGAGGAAGCAAGGCCCCGGTGCATTTGAAGTACAATGGAATGCAAAGTTGTTTATAATACCTGAAAATTAAATATACAGCTGGAAAAGTGACAGGATGGGCAGTCAGGCATTGGCCAGCACTGCAATACTGGGATTAGAGATGGGCTCAAGCTGTTAAATCCAGACCTGGATTTCAAACATCCCATAGTTCCTGGGCTTTTGGGTTCAAGGGTTTGGTTTGACCTATTATAAATATAGTGACCATTTGGAAAATACAGATCTAGATCTGGGTTTGGATTCTGAACACCTAGAAGAGGATGCTCAAATTCAGGGTTTCTTTTCTGGCCCACGTCTAGTCTGTATGGAATGAGACATGTGGTGCTGATTGCCAAGGTTGCAAGGTATGGGAGCGACAGCAGCCAAGCAATGGAGAATGAGGATGGGATTATCAGTGCCTTTGCTTGGAGCTGCTATTGCATTTTATCCAATGTGCAGCAGGGCAAAGATAAATAGGCGGTGGAGGAAGAGAACAAAGAGCAGTTAGCGAAGGCGAGAGCCTATGCTCCTCTTTTGTGGTCCTAGACAAGAGACAGAGTGTATAGTACATGCTGTTCTGTGCCTTTCCCCTTGGATCTCCCAGGTCACTGCACAGTAAGTGTTTCCTCTCTGTATTCTAAATTCCAAACGAGCTGGCTGCTTATTCTTATTGTAAGTGACACTGTGTGAATACGTTGTCATATTACCAATGAGAAATAGATATGTCAGGCTCAGTGACGTATGGAAAAATAAGTAGTTACACTGTAGTTGTTAGACTTTGTGATCCTGACAGATGTCACTGTGATGGACTAATCAGTGACCTCTTCATTATATGCAGTTGATTTTTATTCTTTACTTTGCAAAGCAGGTACTAGCAGTCAGAAAAAGGCAGCTCTCAGGACCAGCAAGGAAACGGGGTCTGTTTTCAGCAGAAGAGCAGCTGCTCAAGGGTGTTTCTAGGATAAGATCTGTATACAGTTGAGTTTGGTTGAAAATCAGGCATTCAGAACAGGGTGTCATCTGCTATCACCTTGCGACTGATGAAAGGAAGCAAATGGCAAGAATCTATAACAGAATAATGGATCGAGTGGTCAATGCTGAAGCGGTGAAGTTTGGAGTGTGCTACTGTGAAATTAATGGCTGATTAGAAAGTGGCATGTGCACTACACATGAGAGTATGTTCAGAAGAGATTTAGAGGCTAACAGGCAAAATCATATTTCTGTGATCAGTGGGAAATTATTTTTTTTCAGAGCATGAATGAATTGACCTTGGCACTTAGGAGTCTCCTTGAAAGTCAGTGGGACTTAGGTTCCTAAGTACTGAAGTCACTTTTGAAAATGAGATCAACATTTAGGAACTTGAGTGTCGTGAGTCAAAAATACTTCAAGAATTAGGAGCCTAAGTCCCATTGACTATCAAAGAGTCTCTTAAGTGTCAAGTTTGTTTTGCGGTGCTGGAGCCATGTTGTTTCCAGTATATTAGAGATTATCTCACCCACCTTCTCTCTCTCCTAAGTGTCAAGGTCACTTTTGAAAATGGGACCTTGTCATCTATATCAATTAGACCTGGCAACGCTGAGTTGAACAACACCAAAATACCTTTAAAAATCTGGCCCTTAGGTGCCTATGTCTCTTTGAAAATAGGACTTTGATTCTGCACTTTTGAAAATTTTACACCTAGGCTCTTTGAGTCAGGGACAGTCTTTATTTTGTGTCTTGTACAGCTTGAACACATAGTCAATATATTTCTCAGGTCTGCTGTGTTGGCTAACATGTAAAATACAGTAAGTGAACTTCACGTACACCAGCAATAAGAACTGTGAAAACTGTAGTGACCTAGAATTACAACCAATTGGTTTTCTCTGGTATGATGCTATTATATGTGTACTGTATTAGCTAGATATCAGCTAGGGGAGCATGCAATAATTTACGGTTCTGCCATTTGTCTTGAATTGGCTGTTTATTTTTTCTGTGAGAATTCAGAAAATATTTAGCAACAAAGACCTCAGTAACTTTAGGTTTATGAAGGTATCATGCTTGGTTAAATTTGGAAAATTTAGTTGTGCCCAGTAAACGCTTTATGGCTGGATTAATGAGTAACCTCCACTTTAATTAGTCAATTGCTGGTCTCCCACAGCGTTATTTTCTTCTTTCCCCCTATAAAACCTCTTCCCATCTTTACTTGGTCACTTACAGCCTCAAAATGCCAGTAGCCCTAGGCGAGGTGCTTTTATTCATGATTGGGATAGTTTGTCTTAGAGAAGGAAACTCCGTGCCACTGCGTCTACAAAAAGGTAGGATCAAAATTTAATCATTTTCTAAAGGCAAAAGCCCAGCTTCTCAGATTGTTTTACATCATCTAGCTCCATGGAAGTAAAGGAGTTACACTAATTTATACCAGTTGAGAATCTGACCCTAGGTCATGTCTGTCCACAGCAGAGGTTTTCAAACTGTTGGGTGTGCCCCCCTAAAGGGACACAGAGGGACATTGGGGTGACAAGCGGCAACGCCAGGTGGCTTGGGCTTCAGCTCAGGCTTCAGCCCGGCGTGGCAGGGCTCGGAGAGGGAACGCCACCTCCACCCTGTGACTAATCTCTTTTTGTGTGGTTGAGGGGGGAACGCAACCAAAAATTGTAACTCAAAGGCGGGGGCTCAGCTCAAAAAGTTTGAAAACCGCTGGTCTACAGTATGAGGTTTAATCCACCCCTTTTGTTATGTAACTGCATGTCTATGAGTGGACACGTGAGAATAAAAGTTTTTTTTTCAGTTTAGCTTAATTCTTCCTTTAACAAGCTGAACTAAATCAAAATAAGACCTTCACAGGTTTGCACCAAAATAACAAAAGCTGTGGATTAAAACCGATGTCGTTATTTCGATGCCAATTGTATGTTACCAACCCAAAGTCTTTACTTCAGTTGAAATGAAATGACTTGGACTAGCTCCTCTTTTAAATTGTCTTGTATTTTAAAATCCCAGAGTGTAGTCCATTTGGACCAATTTTGAAAAAAAAAATCCTGAATATTCCTAATTATTTCATTTATGTAGATTATTTGTTTCACTTTTTATATGGGTGTCAAGACACAAGCCACTGTTGGAAATGTCTCTCCAGCCACACCGGGTAGAAATATAATGACTAATCTGGATTGTTTTCACAACTGTGTCCAATTTAATCACACTTCATGATTTTTTAATTGCTGTTTGGTTTAGGAATCATTATTAGAAGTGTTAACAGTCATGTTGTGGATTTCCATCAGTCTCTTATTGTATAATGCAAAAATATGCCTGTGGTCAGCTGGGTCTGATTTCAATTACAGTCTGAGAATCCAGAGAAACTCCAATGCAGTAAATCCATCTGAGATCAGGCCAATTGTATTTTTTTGTGATCTCAACTTCACTTGTGCAAAAGGGTAAATTAAATTTCAGGCTTGACTCACTGAGGCAGCAATATAATTGTTGTTTTGTAAAATGTGTGTGTGTGTGTGTGTGTGTGTGTGTGTGTGTGTAGACAAAATATTCTGATAGCAATGGGACTAAGTTTTATTGGTGGCGGAGTGCCAAAGCTCGTAGCAAACCATCCAGTTCTGGCAGATGCTTGCAAAGCTGAACTAGTGAAAAGGGAAATTTTGGAGTTGCATTGCTCAAACCCAGCAAATTACCCATAGTTCCACTGTTGTTGCTTTTTTATTTTAATGTTTTCACGCACATTGAAGTCAAAAGTGTCCCTGGAGCATTTTATTACAAACACGGCCAGCTACTCTTGGTATCCTAAATAATGGCACATTTTATTACTGCAGCATTCTGCCACACAAGTGGTTGCATTACAGAGATAGGTGAGAGAACCCAATATACATGGTCTGTTAAGGGCTTTGGAGACTTTTTTGACTTCACTGAAAATTTTCACACAGTTTCAAATAGAAAAGCAAAAATGGGAATTATGGGTAATATGCTGGGTTTGGAAAATGCATCAAAACAATGCCCTTTTCATTAATACAGATTGCAAGTAGTTACTGAAGTTGGAAGGATTGCATTTAGCTTTGCAATAAACCTCTATAAACTCAGTATTATTGCTGTAAATGTTTTTCTGTACCACACATTTAAAAAATATAAATATATCTCTGCCTCAGAGAGCCGAGCTGAGTAGCACTGGTATTGACTTCAGTGGGAGCAGAGTTAGTTAGGCCAGTGCTGAATGCTTTTGAAAAGTCCACCCATAAATTGTTGATTATCAAAGCCTATGTAGTGGGTAGGTCAACCCCATTTGTTCAAAATGTTTTGAAGGATGCAAAAAAGTTTGGCTAAATACATGGTCCAATAATTGAGGGAGTTAGTGGAACAGTGATTCATTCCCAAAATTTGTATAAAAGGGAATTTCAGATTAAAGGGGTTTTAAGTGTTCCTAAATATATTTTTCCTTGTTTGCCTCCTAATATTTGTTCATGGTAGAAAAAAAGTCATATTAGTAAAAATAAAACATGAGAACACCCAAATGGAGAGCTCCTGAAGTATGTAAACAGTTGCTCTTGGCTGGTCTAAAACAGGTTCTCTACATTAGTGATTGCCTTCAGATCTCAGAACATATAGCAGTGGGGTGAGTCACTGGTCTGTTGCATGAAGTACTTAGAGATAGAGCTGGTTTTACATGAAGGGGCACACACCTGTCAGGGATGCACTAGGTTTACATGGTCCTGCTTCAGCACAGGGGTGGCTGAAGTAGATGACTTCTCGGGGTCCCTTCAAGCCCCACATTTCTATGATTCTATAAGCTATGACACCAATTGCACGTTAAAGCAATTCTGTCAGACTTTTGCTCCACTGCTTCCCTCCATTAATTAGCTAATAAAGTGCACTTTGCTGGTGGCAAATACAAGAATGCAAGACAAATACTGAGACTCTAGTCTTGCAGCCTGAGCTGTACTCCTGCATTTCAGCAGAGTCCCACTGAAGTCAATAAGGCTCTGGACAGGTGAAGTAGTCCACCAGTGTGAAACTGATTGCAGGATCAGGCTTGAAGATGGGTTCACTTTGTCTCACGGGGTGTAGAAATGGGTCCCCATCTTCCCTCTATCATGAATGACCCCATAAAATGCTTATAATCTGAAAAACAGGGAGTGCAGCTATTGGAGGAAAAGATGGGAAAGCCTAAAAATGGCTTCATAGTGTAAAAAAAAAATACAGATCCGCCCTCCCCTCCCAAAGTGAAGGAAGCTGATGACACTACTCAGAAACACAGAGCAGAGCAAACAGACATCTCACAATATCAGTGTCCCATGACATATTAGAACATATCAAAACTGTTCCCTGGATTTGTGAGTGCTTCAACGCAGGGCTGGAGAAATGCAGCACTGGAGCAGCTTTTATCACCTTGAAAGCTGAAGTTTCTTTCTGACTGTGCAGGTACAAAAAATGGAGAACCTGAGGCCTGGTCTACACTAGGACATTAGGGGGAAAATCCACACTCCTGAGCGATGCAGTTAAACCGATCTAACTCCTGGTGTAGACAGCACTAGGTCAACAGGAGATTCTCCCATCAACCTAGGTACCGCTTCTAGGAGAGGTGGGTTACCTACACCGACAAGAGAGCCTCTCCTGTTGGCATAGGTAGCGACTTCACTGAAGCGCTACAGTGGTGCAGCTGCAGTATTTTAGATCCAGAATAAAAAGGCAATGAGGAAACACAGAATTATTCCTGATCCTATAGAGACCAAGCACATTAATGAGTGTTCAGTGGGAGTTGATTGTATGAGAGGACTACAGGATTGGGCCCTTATATGTCTCCTACATGATTCTGCCCCTGAATGTCTGCATGCTTGTTGGTATTGAAATCTTTGATGCTAGAGAGTCAAGAACAGAATGATGCACGCAAGCTCATTTTCTTTCTCTCTTTTCTTTTATTTGATTTGGTTTTGGTACCGTTCAGATTCTAGGTGTGGACAGAAGCCACATGAAATGAAGCCATGGAATAATTTCAACCATCTCACTCGCATTGTTGGTGGGAACCAGGTGAAACAAGGCTCGCATCCGTGGCAGGTTAGCACAAGGGAATGCGGTTTTATCCTGTGCCACTTTGGGAACAAAGGCCCAACTTTTCATAGATGTAACAAAAGCAGCAAGGCAGGGGTACTTTGTGCTCATTGGCACATCTGGTGCTCTATTGTTGAGTTCCATGCTGCTGCTTTTAGCAAGAGCAGTGAAGCAGACAGAAGGCAGGAATAATTTCCACTCTCTCCAAGTTCCTAGAAACTTTTGTTATGTTTATTATTGGGTCTTAAAGGGAGTCTGTAGCTGGTCTGTTATAAATAGGGATGGGTGAATTTGTTTGGAAAATAAAAGAACCATCACATACCTCCGGAGAATGTAGTGATTGGGAAGAGGGTGGTGCCTTGTACTGTTTGGTGGTCTGAGACCGCAAACTCATTTCACACAGGACACCAAACAGCTGTGAAGGCTTCTGGCAACCTGTCTGAATTAGGATCAGTAATATATAGAGTCTAAACAACCCAGTCCCCTGCTGAATATGTCCGTCTTTTTGCCTCTGTGAAATATATATAATTTGTAGTCATGTCACAAAATTGTTTGGAGATAAAACTAGACACCTACTGGGGCTCAATGGGAGTTCTAAGAGCTGAGGACACCAAACCCCACCCAAATGCCAAGAAGTATTGTTGAATTTTCTTAAGCAGTGTTAACTGTAATGTGCTGAAGGCTTTGAGAATGCTCTCTCTCCTAGATTAGATCAGATGTACAGATTTTTACATGACAGGCATTCTTTATGATGCAGGTTTCCTTGAAACGATGGCAAAGGCATTTCTGTGGAGGCACCATTGTTTCTGCTCAATGGGTGGTCACGGCAGCTCACTGTGTTTTAGACAGGTATGGATGAGAAATTTCACTACAGGGCTGCAAGTGAAGAAAAGTATTGCTAGTAAAAGTGCTTGCGCTATGACATTTGTCTGTGGAAATTGTTTACAGACCCCAATAACCTTTCCATCTGAAAAATACTGGTTGCAAATTGAATTTTTATTGGGCGGGTGGGGTGTGTGTGTGTGTGTGGAAAAGACCTCATAAAAGTTCACAAGCAATTTAAAAGAGGAAAATAGACCCAAAGAGTAGTAAGGAGCAGCTATGTTGTTCAGGGGTGGGAATGTACCTCCAGTAATACCAATGGAGTGTAATACTTCTGTAAAGGTTACTTAGAAGCAGCATAATGCAAGACACTAAGGGCTCAGTCCTGCCTCATTGCATGCCACAAACTTCCAGTGAAATAACCGGGAATTTTGAAATGCAGGATCAGGCTCTTCAAAAGAAACAGACCTTAACAAAAACTGGAATCTTGCTGGATGAAAGATGTCCAATAAAATCCAGGGTGCTAATGGAAGAGAGCTAGAGACTCAGTGGGTGGCACTCTTACCTCTGAGTACAAACTGGGTCCCATTATAGCACCAGGGAGTACACTGCTGCTGGAGAGTCTCTTTGCAATTAGCAATGATTGATACCCTTGACCTAGCCTCCCGTGGTATGACACATCCTGGGGGAGCCCAGGGTTATGAGGCTCCTCGCTATAACCTGCCCTTAGCATGAGGAAGCCTTGTCTATGCCTGTTGTAGGTCAGTTCCCCATTTCCATGGACAACACAAGCACTTTCTCCTCTTTAAGCCTTGCAGGCTCCATTGTCACTCTATAGATTAGCGACTGGCACACTCCAACCCTTGAGCCCACCAAGCATCTCTCTGGAGTGTCTAGCTCTGGTCCACTGACTGCATACTTGCAGTAGTCACAGATTTGCTGCTTCCAAAGAAGCAGCATGCTCCAGCTTGCCAGTTCCTCCTCAGATCACCACTCCACCTAACACACAGCGCTTAGATATGTGTATTGTGAAATCAAGGATGAGGTTATTTAACAAAGCACAGAGATTCGGGTAGTACCAAAAAGAAGTATTGGAAACAAATGGTTATATAAAATAACACACATTCTAGAGCCTACACATAATTATGTCTTGTAGAGTATTGAGCACCCAAAATCCTTGCAGCACTTTACAGCCCAGCTTGGCTGTGGCCTTCTCTGAGACAAGCACGCTGTCAGCTTGTCTCCTAGGTGACAGACCTAGTATGTTCCTTTGCACTCCAAGTAGGGTGACTAGATCACAGGGATGAAATATCGGGATGCGGGGTTCCCCGGGGCTTTGGGCTGGGCAGCGGGCGGGAGCCGGGGCTTTTCCTGGCCCTGTGGAGCCTCCCGTCCCCCGGCCCACCCTGGGCACATGCGGCGCGTCCCGCCAACGGCGGGGAAGTTTATGGGTTCTGGGGACCCCGGCCGGCTCCTTGCCCCTGTCCGCCGGCCGCCCCGCCTGGGACAAGTCTCGCCCCCGCAGCCCCTCTCCGCCGCATGTCTCTGGTGGCCCACGCTCCCGGGCCGCGCCGCCCACTCGGGCCAGAGCCAGCCCCGGCTGCTGCCTGCACGCAGCCCGGGCCATGCCCAGCTAGCCCCCGGCAGCCGCGGCAACTTTTCCTTCCCCTCCCGTGCTCCTGGTAGATGCCCGACCCTCCTCCCTCCATCCCCCCTCCACACATCCCTTCTCCTAACCTCCTCCCTCCATCCCCCTCACATCCCACGCAGCACCGCACGCTGGTGTCCGGCGGCCTCCCTCCAGCGCTTGCGCAGCTGCCATACAGCTGATCAGCGGCACGCAAGCCTGGGAGGGAGGGGAATGCGGGCTGCGTGCTTGGGGAAGAGGCGGGGCCAGGGCGGGGATTTTGGGAGGGATCCAATGGGGGAAGGAGGGGGCGGAGTCGGGG